TTTGGGGTCCTTAGGGACTAGTAAAGCGCTATACAAACAGGCCATTTACCATTTTTTACTGTGACTCAGCTGCACTACCTTTGCGGCCCACCAGAGGGGCTTCAGCCTACACTTTGGGAATCACTGATCTAGAATTTTGCTTAATCAGTTTCTGGGAGGTTAGCCAATTGTGTCTGCATGTTTAAGAGATGGAAGTCCCTACCAATGCCAGACACCTGGTCCCAGGCGATGTCCATGGCTAGGTGAGCCATTTTGGGTCCAACTCCCGGCAGACGGACCAGCCCCTCAACACTGCTTGGGATATCCCCTCCAAACTCCTTTTGCAACATGGCTGACGTCAGCTTCAGATACTTCACCTTATTCTAAAGAAGAACAGGTGAGAGAAACCAAGAGGACACAACAAAGAACACAGCTGAGAAACCAGGTTCATCTAATATTTAACTTTTATTTACTGAAATTTGATTAAACATGCTAACAGCTATGGACACCATTTGTTTTACCCTCCAGAAGCCGACAGGATAGATGAGTTTTCCCAGTTTTTCATCATCTGTAGCGAGTATGTTTTCTACAGTGCAGCCATGTGCTCTGAGCTTCTGCATAGCTGCTGCTGTCACCTGGTCCTTTGTCTGACTGGACAGCATGAGTGACACCAGCACCTGGAAACGTCTCACCTGCAGATGGAACAGAGGAATTAACAAGTTCTATTTAAGGGGACTTTTAAAATATCCATCCCACACCTACATGCGCAGGAGCCTCCATGTCATAGCATTTCTCTGCTCCCATGTTATCTACAGGCGCATCACGGCCGCTCCTCATCTCACGAATGAATCCTAACTGTTTCCTCCAGTCGGCAGGTTCCCAGTGCTCAGTTTTCATGGGAGAAACACGTTCATCCTTCTCGTATTCCACCTTTAACTGTCTCCTCCTGCGGCTGTGTGGATACTCCGGTAAAGCTTCGGTTTTTGGTTGCACCGGTGCCTCGTGGAGGAGTTCACGGCCTGAACAAGAGGAAGCATGGCACCACAGTAACCACCATAGCTAGAAATTTAAACACAAATGATATCTAATATGATCTACTTAATCAAATACTAGTTTTGATGTAATTTTTTTTTTAAATCACTATAAATAAGATATTTCCTCCAACCAGGTCAACACCTAAAGATGCTGAATGTTGGAATAATTTCACCATCTTGGTTTAAAACAAACAAACAAAAAACCCCTATAATCTTCGCACACTGTCTTTTTATCATTATTTTATAGAAGCAAAACATTTTCAGTCCCATTCACCTTAACTGGATCAATGTTCAAATCATGGTTCATATGGTTGCTATGACAAATTATTTACAAAATGAAAATCAAGTTGTATCTAATACATTTTGAACCTTAACAATTAAGAACAAATGTTTATTAGGAAAAAAGTTTATTTAGGCCATAAATCAAGATAGAAGTAAAGTGGTTCTCTCACAGACTTTTATATAACCAGACTTTTTTTTTTTGCAGTTAGGAGTCACCCCCTGCTGGTCATCACAAAGAATGCAGGTTCTCTAATAACTAATCAGACAAGCAGATTAGCTTCATGTTTTTGTATAAACTCATTAAGACTTGAAATACTGAGCCCACTGTGTAAAATTTACACTTATTTCTGCACAACAAAATTCTGTCTTTTTTTAATGGCATCACAGAGTCAACAGATCTCAAGCTCAGAGTAAGAGACTTCCAGAATCTTGGGGCCAATGTTGCAAATCTCCTTTAGTTCACACGATTATATGATCCACAGCTAGCAGGGCCTGATCATATGACCTCAGAGACCTGATGAACACTGATGCTCAACTATGCAGAGCTCTAAAAGTCAAAACCAGAAATTTAAAGTGGAACGATTTTCACAGAGAGCCAGTGCAACTGAATTAGTAACGATGTGATAGTTGAGTATTTAGTAGCCTTAGTCAGAAGCCTTGCGGTGGAGTTCTGAACTACCAACAGATGTGAGTAATAAACAACAATGAATTCTAATTCTAATTCAATAATTAACTAAAAAAAAAAAAAATCAGACCTGATGAAATTAAGGCATGAACAACAATTTCCAATTTGGAGTACAAAAACAAAAACGTGTCTGCACAAAAAAGTACATTTTTTGAATTTCATCTTGTGGAAACAAATCTTCTCGAACAGAGTTATTTGTTTCAGCCTTCAAAGAGGTGCAACAAAGAGGCTCAAAATGTTCATATAGTAGGGCAAATATTACAGAGACATGCTTCAGAGCAGGAGTGCCAAACATAAGGTCCTTGGGCCAAAATTGGCCCAGCAAACACTACAATCCAGCCCACTGGATCGCTGTTGATGGCTGTACTTTTTTTGTTACACTGTATGCACAGTAATACATAAAAAATGATAAAAATAGAAAATTTCCTGTGAAATAACCAAATGTTTCCACTTTATTATGATTAAAGGTAGTCTGGGCAATGAGCTACCAAAGTGTAGTGTTGAAATTACTCTTCTTTTTCTATAAATGCATAGTTAAATATCTTTACACTGACAGAAAGGGTATTTTTTACTGCTCTGGCCCATTTAAGATCAAAGTGGGTTGTGTGTGGCCCAAGATGTAAAATGAGACCGACATCCCTGCTGTAGAGTGACCTTTATTGGTGTAAACACGGTTTTGTGCATGATAAACTGAACTCCCTGTTTATTAGCACAGACTCAGTCTCAAGTACAAAATCTGTCTCTTGAGTGTAAAGGTCAGTTTTGTCTTATGGATGCACAAAACCTTATATCCTGCACGTTCATAATTCTATTTCACCTGTTTAACCTATTTCTATTTCACATTCACAGAACAAAAGAAACAACATCTTTCACTCTGTGCCCTGTAGTGTTCATTGATAACTCCTGCACACTGGGCGAGAAAGGTGATGACAAAGCCTGGTTTTCACCTGCCAGTCGCTTTTTTAAGATGTAAAGGTGTAACTGTAGAATTGGTAAGCAAAGCAAATCAACCTGCTCCAGAATATGCGCAAGCGCAATAGCCTTCTGCCACCAAAACAGCTCAAGTTAATTAATTTGTATCCACGTGTACCAACGTACGTGGTCAGTTTGTGTGGTTAGCGTTACCGACTGATAAAGGAGTAGACGAAGCTCTCAGCTCTGACACGCTCTTCTCCTCCACCTCCACCTTCACTGGCCCAGCGCAGACCGGGTCCTCGTTCCTCCGTCTGTTGGTGAGTTTGGTCCTGAGAGAGGCTGCAGGTGTGCGGCCAGCAGTTTGACTCGCACTCCGAGTCATAACAGACCTGTTCTCCATGAAGTAAGGAGAAGTCATTATAACACCTCGGACTACATAACAGACCCGCGCGCAGCAGCGGACGTGAAGCATTGAACTGTTGCTGAAGTTAGTTTCTCATTCGTAGTTTTTGGATCGCGGGTGGAGCTGACAAGCTGAATTCGCCTGCAAGAGGAAGAATGACATAAACACAAAGACTCGATTTTATTTTGTTTAAAAAAAAACAACAAATCTTCCGCTCTGTTAATAAAACAATATTGTTTTGATATGTGAGATTACACTTACACTTCCTGGTGGAAGTGCCAATTTACTTTTAAAATCTAAAAAAAAAAAAAAAAAAAACCTACACGATACTCAATTGCGACTGAAAACGGGTCAGGGTGATATTATTAGTTTAACTGTAGACGTACTGAACCCCCCAATATAACTGTCTTATAAATAGAAGTCGACAATGATGTCGTTAGAGAGTCACTAAATAATTACATTTTATTCAGGACGGCATAATAATAATAATAATGATAACTTACAAAATCTGCTCATTTCCAAATCCATATTTTTATTCTTACACCATACTAAGCTTTATGTGGCTTTACATGAGTGACAAATGAAACATAATCCTTATTTATCTTACACCTTCTTGATAATCTTCCTTTACTCTCTTTTAAGCCAACCTTCCTCTGATTGGCTGCCCCTCACAAACAGAAGGTTTGGACAGCTGGATGGACTGAAAGAGAGTGTTTAGAGCAGTGCCTTTGACCCAAAGGTACCACTTTACCATCAGTGTGGAGCCGATCCTGTCATAGTGTCTACATTTTGATAAGTTTGAGAACCGATTATCACAGTAGGGTTAATGGAAGCTGCTAGTTGTATTTGCCAAATATTGGAGAATTTCTTGTGGTAGTCCAACTTATGTCCTAGAAATATAGACAGGTTCTTTTTTGTGTTTTGTTTTTTTTGTCCAGGGTTTCTATAGAGCCAAAAAATAAAAATATTTGTATTACCTTGTTCATAAGCGCCACTCACAGGACCCCTGGCCACATTGCAGCTTGTAGCGTCAAAAAGGAACCAACTTCACTAACAGCAGCACGGTAAGCTAGCTGCCAGCTTAACTGCTAAAACCGTCTTACTTTATGCTAGATTTTGACGGCTAAACACTTTTATATAGTCTATAGGAAACTTTACCTGCGCGTTACTTCTTTGTAGATGTTAGGCTTTCCCGACTGTGCCACAACACAAAAACTCATACTGCTAACAAACGGACTAGCATACTTCGTATTTAGTCTGCCCTTAAAAATACATTTCCCGCGAGGCAGTGCGGCAAACGTGTTTTTGTAGGAAGTCCCACTGTCAGAGCATTAGTGTGTCATCCGGTTGAAGAGTAGGGGTGCTGGGAGCGAGCCTTCGGCTGCAAAGACAGAGTTATATCAATGCACAGAAGCGGACGGCTCGGCTGGCTGCAATCTGACGAAGCAGCGACTGAATGAAACCAAAACCGACTCAACTTCACTGAGGTGAGATGAGAGGGGGAGACGGTGGCCGGGGGTAGGAGGGGCAGGCGCTGTTGTTTTATGCTGCTAGACCTTCAGTGCCACAACAGAGAAATGCTAGCTTATTACAACCACTGTGAACCGAAGCTGAGAGGGTTTAGCAACGCCACACTACGTTTGTGCTGATATGAAGTGTTTAGGTTGACTTGTGTCCGCAGATATATCAACTCTGGTTCGAGCCTACCTTGCACCGTTGCTGTTGTTGTTGTTGCTGCTGGTGCTGGTGCTGGACTGAAACAGACCAGCCGTTGTCCGTCTGCTCACCTCCCCCCCCCTCTATCTCTGTCAAGTCCACATGACAGCAAATTCTTTAAACGTGCCCCATGGGTTTACATATTTACAGGCTTCAGTGTCAAACTTTACTCCTGCTTAAACAGTGGCTTGTAGTGCTGTGTGGACCCACCTGTAATGTCATAAACTTGTTGCTCAAGTTTATTTTGCTGCTGTATGGTCTAAGCTCACATGCACAGTACATTAATATACAACCCTTTAAAGAAATATAAAACACACTTCATTACAGACATGGACATGGATAAACTGGAGTCGTTTAGCAATCTCTTATTATCAGCTTCTCCACCTGCTAAGCACAGACTTCATATAAACTAAAAATAAGTAATAAGTTTACTTTCCAAGATGGACTTTTTCACTTGAAATATGACTTGACTTAATACACCTCATTATATCTGGTCTGAACAGTTTCCAGAGCCCAGCTCCAGCTTAGACAACATAACAATATGCTGACAGGTTACTGTTGGTAATCTATTTGTTGTGAAGTTATGGCCCAATGCTGATTTTTAAAATAACTATTTGTTATATGTATTTTTGGTGTTACCATTTTTGTGGCGAGGAAGCAAAAAGAAGTTATTAATAGGGAATAACTGAAATGTTTAAGCTTATTTTTTAGGTATTCATCAGAGGACTGTAGAACAGTTGGCCAGCACAAAGTTGATAGGACAGATGGACAGTGCCATGTGTAAATCTGTACTAATTCTCAATATATATACAGTCACGTGAAAGGGTTATCACACGACTCTACAGACTCATGTGAGTAGTAAGTATATATAATTTTTCAGTAGCTAGTAAAACCACTCTTAAAGTCCTTCTACAGCATTTCAACTAGGCTGAGGTCTGGACTTGCAGCACTTTAATTCTTTTCTTTTTCAGCCATTTTTTGTTTGCTAGATTTACAGGTGTATTTGGGCTCATTGTCTTTTTGCATGACCCAACTTGGGCCAAGCGTCTGCTGTCAGTTAGATAGCCTCAAGATTGCCTCTAGAATACTTTGAGCCAACCATGAACTTCTCTGTACACCAAAGAGTGACAGGTGTCCAGGTCTCATAGCTGCAAAACAAGCACAAATCATCAGCTGTCCACCACTGTGCTGACAGGTGGTGTTAAGTACTAATATGCTATGTTTGTTTTGTTTGTTTTTTTCCAACATGTGCATGGGTGTACATTATGGCCAAACAGCTCCACTTTGGTCTCATCTGTTCAAGAAATGCTATGATTTGTACTGATGCTACTTTGCAAAGCTAAACTGTGCTCCCATGTTCTTTTTTAGAGAGAAGAGGCTTACTTTTCTACCAACTATCCAGCTGTCATGAACTTTAGGATTTGACAAGCTTACTGAGGCTTATACAGTCTGAGATATGGCTTTTGTGTTTCTTCGGTTTCTCTGAGTGTTACGTGGTCTAACCTTGGGATAAATATGCTGGGAAGATGGTGGCATTGTGTTAAAACAGACCTGAATGTGCCAGATTAGCAAATTGCCCAAACTACTTTCATAGAGGTGCTTACCCATTAATCAATACATATGATTACCAGCACCTGGCTGCTGATTGCCCTCTTAATTGCTGTAGTAGCAGTAATGGTGTACTTAAGTTTGCACAGGATTGCAACTACGCTTTTTTTTTGTTGTCCCATGCATGTTGTCTACCCCAACTGTAATTTCAATACCTGGCAATACATTAAATCTATTGAAGGAAGGTTTACACATTTCCATAATAATATTAGTTTGGGGG